TGTACTTTATAAAAACTGTCAAGGTGACAGATACCTGGAAAGATTTCCTAGATTCACTCTGAGGAATTATGAAAATAGTGATTTAAAAAATAACATTCCAATTGGATGACCTAGCCTGTTCTCAGCTGCACTAGCATGAAACATATGGAAATAATCACAGTAACTGATATTACTGAAAGGGAGCCACAAAGATTATAATGACCTAATATTTAGAAAGTAAAGAATCAAAGCAAAACATTCCTTAGAGCTATAATACACTAGGACAACCTTGATTGCTGACCGAAAGTTCCAGGATGAACATAACTGTACAATTTTTGCTTAAATAAATGCTAGTGTACAAAGATGTGTTTATAACAGGTTTAGATTACGATGATATGGAATAAGATTAGTTCCACAGTCCAGAATTGGCCTCTGAGATTATATGCCCTACACACTACTTTGGCTTTCAAAGTTTACTTTTAGGTACTAGGCAATAATCTTAAACTCCATTTCAACTTTAATCAGAAACCATAAGGTGGTTAAAGAAAATGTAATTTCTGTAATTACCAAAGCTGTTACGCAGATTTTTTTTCTTTCCAGTGCCAGTAGAAAAGTGGGTTACACAGATTTTGATAGATTTTCAAAAGCATTAGGTGAACTGATTCACACTAATCAACATGGCAAGGAACTGATTTATACATAACTATGCTCATTTATCTGTTATAAGGAGAACTGTCAAACTGATCAGATTCTTAGAAGTAAAGAATGGTTTTGCCTTGCCAAGACCTCAGACATCATCTAATCTAACCCATTCAGATTCCAAAGAAAAGGAAAATGGTAATCACAGAGTTTAAGAATTTTTTAGTGTACTCCTGTATGGATCAGAGAACGCACTCTGGAAGGCTGGCCTAATTTGAAGGTCTGGCAAGAAGAATATCCCTATTATGAAAAAAGACAAATCATATACTTAAGATTATCCAATTCCTTTTGGTTTGAATCTGTATTAAACAATATTCTAAATTTTCATTTAGTTCTCTGGATAGATTTCCCTACTAGAAGAAAACGAGCTGACTAATCCATGTAAGCATCCTGGACTGTTTGTAGCCTGTGTTAATAAACCACAAATCTGGCTTATACATTGATCTTTAGTGGTACAGATATCAACTCATGGAGTCTGATCCCTCATGACTTTTTTTTTTTTTTTTTTTTAATGAGACAGAGTCTTACTCTGTTGCCAGGCTAGAGTACAATGATGTGATCTCAGCTCACTGCAACCTCCGTCTCCTGGGTTCAAGCGATTCTCCTGCCTCAGCCTACCGAGTAGCTGGTACTACAGGCACATGCTACCACGCCCAGCTAATTTTTGTATTTTTTGTAGAGATGGGGTTTCACCATGTTGGTCAGGATGGTCTCGATTTCTTGACCTCGTGATCTGCCCGCCTCAGCCTCCAAAAGTACTGGGATTACAGGCATGAGCCATCCTGGTATTTTTTTTTTTTGAGACAGAATCTCACTTTGTCACACAGGTTGGAGGGCAGTGGCATCATCTCAGCTTATTACAACCTCCACCTCCTGGGTTTAAGTGATTCTCGTGCCTCAGCCCACCAAGTAGCTGGGACTACAGGTGCATGCCACCACACCAGGTTAATTTTTGTATTTTTAGTAGAGAAGCGCTTTGCCATGTAGCCCAGGCTGGTCTGGAACTCCTGAGCTCAAGCAATCTGCCTGCCTCAGCCTCACAAAGTGTTACGATGACAGGCATAAGCCACTGTGCCAGGCCCCTCATGATTTTTAAAAAACAATGAAAAGAAATAGAATTTTGGTAAAATAGTAAAAATGGACAGAATTTTGAATCGTATGATTCAATTAAATAAAGCAATATTCTTAGCCATATGAAATAAATTTTTAAAAATTATTTATTCTGGCCGGGCATGGTGGCTCATGCCTGTAATCCCAGCACTTTGGGAGGCCGAGGAGGGTGGATCACCTGAGGTCGGGGGTTTAAGAGCAAGATGATCAACATGGCAAAACCCCGTCTCTACTAAAAATACAAAATTAGCGGGGCATGGTGGCACCTGTCTGCAATGCCAGCTACTTGGGAGGTTGAGGCGGGAGAATCGCTTGAACCCGGGAGGCGGAGGTTGCAGTAAGCTGAGATCATGCCATGTTGCACTCCAGCCTGGGCAACAAGCATGAAACCCCATCTCCAAAAAAAAAAAAAAAAAGAATTATTTATTCTGAGTAGATAATGTTCATATGGTTCAAAATTAAATCTTTTGTAACAAGGTATACGTGAGAAGTTTCACTCCAACCCCTTCCTTATCTACTTTGCTATCCCCTACTTTGCTTCCACACAAGCAACCCGTTTTCTTGTACATCCTCCCAGCTACAAGTACATATACATATATTCTAATAATTTTGTCTTTCTAAATGCAATAGAATACCATACATACTATTAACACCTGGTTTTTTTTCACTTAATTAAACCCAGTATATCTAGAATACCTAAAAAGTAGAATCTCAAAGTAATGTTGGACCAGAGGATCTTTTAGGGTTACCATTTAATCTCCTAGCCCAAAAGTTATTAGGGCAGCCTTTACCCTTAATCTCAACCAGGACAGGTTCTGCTAACACATTTATTAAATGAGAATCAGTGTCTACTCGTTCTAGTTCCTGGACTTAAGGAGTTCAAAGTTTAAGAAGGCACAGCCAGGCTAACAGTGATTGCTGCTGCTCCCTGCTGTATCCTTGACTCCTAGAATAGCAGCCTCTCAATGATTATTAATTGAATGAATGAGTAACTCTCCACACAGGCCTCTCTTTTTGAGATGAAGACTTCTGTGTAAACAGCTTTAGTTCAGATTGCCGATCATAGTATTTTTGCAGTAATTGACCAGAATACTATCAGGTTCTTTTTTTTTTTTTTTTTTGACACAAGGTCTCACTCTGTTGCCCAGGCTGGAGTGCAATGGCACAAGCTGGGCTCACTGCAGCCTCCGCCTCCCAGGTTCAATCGATTCTCCCACCTAGCCTCCCAAGTAACTGGGACTACAGGTGTCCGCCACTATGCCCAGCTAATTTTTGTATTTTTTGGTAGAGACGGGGTTTCACCATGTTGTCCAGGCTGGTCTCAAGCTCCTGATCTCAGCTGATCCACCTGCCTCAGCCTCCCAAAGTACTGGGATTACAGGCATGAGCCATCGCACCTGGCCAAGTTCTTTTCCTGAGTTACCTAAAGAACTTCAGCATGTTTCCCCGGAGTTACTTCTTATCTGCCTTGATTGTGAGACCACATTTCAACTTGCTTTACATACGTCAGTTGGGTTAGACTACTGATGGCCGGTGAACCTGTATCATAGAACTGGATATGTTTTACACAAGCTTTATTTGGGGTATTCTCACCTTGCTATTTCCCATGAAATATGGCTTATAGATGACAATGGGAAAATCAATGAAGAGGCTGATGTATGATCTGTGCAAGTCCAAATAAATGGTCACTTGGAAGTTTCAATAAAATCTTCAATAAGCTTTAACATGGAGTTTGACATAGTGTTAGTGACACATCTCGCATGACACAGATGTCTTCCAGTTCCATTTTCTCTTTTTTTTTTTTTTTTTGAGACGGAGTCTCACTCTGTCACAAGGCTGGAGTGCAGTGGCACTGTGTTGGCTCACTGCAACCTCCATCTCTTGGGTTCAAGCAATTCTCCTGCCTTAGTCTCCTAAGTAGCTGGGATTACAGGCACCCACCACCATGCCTGGCTAGTTTTTATATTTTTAGTAGAAATGGGGTTTCACCATATTGGCCAGGCTGGTCTCGAACTCCTGATCTCAGGTGATCCACCCACCTCAGCCTCCCAAAGTGCTGGGATTACAGGTGTAAGCCACTGCGCCCAGCCCCATTTTCTATTTCTACTTTTATGTACCCTCTGGCACTCTTATTCTGCTGTCAGAGACATGAGAGTGTCTCCTTATTAAATGGGTTATTTTGAAATGAGTTTTTACCTCTGTATTTTGGGAGAGTCACAACAAACCAAACCATTCCAAAACTACTCTTCATGTAAAATTTCATAAATTCAAATAAACATTCCAACCCAGAAGGGGTCACTAACAAATAACAAATGCCCTACTACAATCTAAACAGAAAATAATCCTTCTAGCCCCAGCTCTCCACAGCATACTTTGCATAGGTACCCAAGAGCTAACGATAGGCATTATAGTTGGATACATCAGCTTCAAACATTTTAATCATTTCCAGAAATTAAACAGTAAAAGATGCCTGAACAGAGAAAAATATTTAATCAGTAAGAAAGCCGGTATTAATTTTATGTCTAAGGGTTATCATGTAAAGCTGTGGAAGTAAACAAGAAGGAAGATGGATTATGTTTATCCAGTTAATAGATTTTGTTAGAAAAACGAGTACAGCAATGGGAGAAGACATGAGATCTTTTCAACCAGGGTTGTCTACCCCTTACCTTAAACTGGATCCTGGCCACTAACAAGCACATCTCAGAGCAGACAGTCAGCTCTTTGATTTCCAGAATCCCCCTGAAGAAAGACTACTGTTCTCCATTTCTTAGGGGATTTGAAGAAAATCAAAGGTTCACTGTGTCTTTGAGGACTGTCGATAGACAACTACTGCTCTGTATGCCCATGAATAGATCCCTACCAGCGAACCCCTCTTTTCTCCATACTAGAATTCATAACCCTACTAAGTTATCTTTCTGTATACTTATAGGACGTATAATTTTTCAAGATCTCACATAAACATGGTCTCCCGAGACACCCAGGAAAGGCCTTCCCCGACATCAAACAGAGTAATTCTATGGTGTGGGGGTCCAGCAATGGATTCCAGGACATCCCAGATACATATCACGATAGTCTCAGGATTTTGCTCTCAAGAGGGCTTTCTGGCTTCGTTTCTATTTGGTTTCTTAAGAGAGGCGGCATGAGAAAAGCAGGAGCCCCTCAGGTGAGCAGACTCTTAAACACAAACAAAAGACTACGATTCTGCGGCCAAAATGTGGTCCCCAACGAGAGAACCGCTTCCTGTGGTGGGCGTTCGGCTTTGGAGGCGGCAGGGAAATCTCATCCAAGTCAGGAAAGTGGGTAAAAGCAGAAAGAGAAGGGGCTGGAAGACTCACGAGTCTTGAATAAGAAGCCCAGGCTACCCCATCCCTAGCACAGCAGTTCCAAAATGCGGTTCCCGCCCTAAAGCCCAAAGAGACGAAGGTCGTGAGTCGGGAAGCCCGGGATCCAGCGCAGCGAGCAACCGGGAGCAGCGCACACCCCAGCCCCGCTCCCTCCACATCCCGCCCAGACCTGGATCATCCCGCACGGGCGGCGAGGCCAGCCTGGGAGCGGCGCTTACCCACTTCCCAGCAGCAAGCGCAGGGACCGCTCTTATCCCGATCGTTCGGACAGCACCTTCTTACGGGCCGCGCTGCCGCAGCTTCTCCACCCGCGCCCAGCTCCGTCTGAGCTCCCTCTCGGCGAACGCCCCTCCCTCAGGCTGCCACGCGCTACACTCCTGAGTCCCGGGCCTCAGCCCGTATTTAAAGGCTTCTGCCTGAGAAGGCGGAGGCTTCATTCCCCCGCAGCCAGGCCCTCCTGGACTCTGCCCTCAGCCGCTTTCTAGCTCCCCCTCCCACTACACAAGGCCCAGGGCCGGGTCCCTATTTCCTACAGGGCCCAGGGGCGGGGAGACGGGGGCTGGTCCTGGCGGGGAGGACCTGCCCCGCCCCTGACCGGGCTAGGCAAATCCGCTTGGGCCAGCTCAGCCGCTCCGCCCCTACCGCGAGCGGCGCTGGGCGGGACTGCGTGCGTGGCGTGTCCGCTGGACCAGGGGACTGGGGCAACCGGAGGTGTAGGCCCTTTGCTCGCCTACCCGGCGGTCGTGGGTAGCGGAGGGGTCAAGACTTGCTGTCTAGCAGCCGTCTCCCCGCCGCCCTGTCCTGGCCGAAGCAAAGGCCGCGTGCGGTCCGCGTCTGCCAGGCTTCAGGGCTGCGCGGGTACTGGGTGGGTGGTGGGCCGGGCGACCGGAAGATCCTGGCCGCCTTTCCGGTCGCCTCAGCACCCTGGAGCGCAGCCCTCGGGTTTCGGTCCCCTGGACTCTGCAGGTCGGTCCCGGCGGCGGATTATCCTCGCCCACAACCTCGAGGCCCCTGGGTCAACCACGCCTTCCGGGCCGGCAACCCAAGGTTTAGTCAGATTCCTCCAGACCCATCGCTTCTGGGAAAGAGGCGCCTCCCGTCAGGAGGATGCTGAGTTCCTCATGACTGGACCAGTGAGTGTCCACTCCCTGGTCCCTGGCGGGAGAGGCGGGACCCCCACGCTCTCCCGTTGCTCTTTGCAGAGATGTTCCTCAGGCCCAGTCCGGGATTTGGGATGTCTGTGCATGCTGTGGAGCAGAGAGTATGCAACATGTAAGTGCCGTGCGTGAGGAAGAGTACAATTAACCTATGGAGCCTGCTCATTTTTAATGTGGAGGGCATTTCTGTTCCTTTCTTTCGCCACTTCGAGGTCTTTTTAACTAAACCTCAAATCTAAAATATAAGAAAAAAAAGCCAGGCATAGTCATGGCCTTTTATTTCCCTCATTAAGGATTACATCAGGTGATGTAAGCCATTTTAACATACATCATGAAGAAAATGATTAGTAATTTATAAAGGCACATTAAAATACCATATAAATCACGGTTTTCTTGATAGGATCATGATGGCGACTTCAAGAAAGTCGTTGAATGTGGATGAAACAGTTTGCTGTGGATTGTAGCACATGTGGCAGGATATGTAGGCTTGCTTGTTGTTTTGAGACGGAGTCTCCCTCTCGAAGCCCAGGCTGGAGTGCAGTGGCGCGATCTCCGCTCACCGCAACCTCCTCCTCCCGGATTCAAGCGATTCTCCTGCCTCAGCCTCCCGAGTAGCTGGGACGACAGGCTCCCACAACCATGCCCGGCTAATTTTTGTATTTTTAATAGAGACGGGGTTTTGCCATGTTGACCAGGCTGGTCTCAAACTCCTGACCTCAGGTGATTCGCCCGCCTCGGCCTCCCAAAGTGCTGGGATTACAGGTGTGAGCCACGGTGCTTGGCCAGTAATATGTAGGCTTTCTACATTCTATGCAGTTCAGTTCATTCATCCAACAAATATTTAATGCCTGTTGTGTGTCAGACGTTATCCTAAAGACTGAAGATACAAAAGGGATTAAGACTCAATTCCTTTGGCCGGGCACGGTGGTTTACGCCTGTAATCCCAGCACTTTGGGAGGCCATAGCAGGTGAATCACCTGAGGTCAGGAGTTCCAGACCAGCCTGGCCAACATGGTGAAAACCACCCACCCCCTCCCCCGCCTCTACTAAAAATACAAAAAGTTAGCCGGGCAAGGTGGTGGGCACCTGTAATCCCAGCTACTCAGGAGGCTAAGGCATGAGAATTGCTTGAAGTCGGGGGCCGGAGGTTGCAGTGAGCCGAGATCGCACCACTGCCTTCCAGCCTGGGGAACAGAACGAGACTCCGTCTCAAAAAATAACCAAACAAAAAAGACTCATTGCCTTCTTGCAAAGCTGACAGGTTGGGTAGAAGAGATATATAAAGTAATTGCAGTACATAAGTGCTATAGTAGGGCATCTTTTTGAACTTGGGACATATGTAGATTTAAGTTACCTAATACAATTTGCTTTGTAATAAAAACCACTTATCTATGATTGGTCCCTTCATTTTGAATTCAACATTTTTCTATTTAGTATTCACTTCACATTTTTTTTTTTTTTTAGTATTTTGGTAGAATCAGACTCTTCAAAATGGTTAATAGGATTTCAGAAATTAAATCAATTATCAGTGCCAGCTAGAATGGACCTTTGGATTTAGGACAGCGGTTCTCCAAATGTGAGCTGGGGACTGTAGACAGTCTCCGTGGTTCTTTCTGGGATCCATGAGGTCAAAACGTTTTCATGTGTTGCTTGCTTTTTTAACTCTTTTTCTCTCACAAGTGTGCAATAAAGTTTTGTGGAGACTATAATGTGCTATCAAAGCAGATAGAATTAAGCTGTTTTTTAAGTCAGATATTAGAGATTACAAAAATGTAAAACAATGCCAATCTTATTTTTTGTTTTTAAAATATAGTAATTTTTCATTTAAATATGCTATTTATGTTAACACGTAATGGGCTTATTGTCAATTTTAAGGAATTAATCTTTTATATATAATCAGTTTTCATATTTAATATGGTAAATACCAATAGTTACAATCCACATGAAAAAAATTTGTTTGACTCTTCAATTTTTAAACATGCCAAGGGGTCTTGATACCACAAACTTTGAGAACTGCCAAGGTAGGCTAGTTATTTTCAAATCATGTTTCATGGAGCCCTAAATCCTCTGGTAGTGTGTAAGAAATCTGTGAGGATAGAGAATTTAAAAAAAAAAAAAAAGAGTAGGAAGTTACAGACAAGGCTCTGGGTCCCCACATCTCCCCATCTTCCTCTAATGGCAGTTCAACTTTTCTCTGTTTATCTGGGTTTTTTTTGTTTTGTTTTTGTTGTTGTTGTTTTTTGCCTTGAGACAGTCTCACTCTGTCACCCAGGCTGGAATGCAATGGTGCAATCTCAGCTCACTGCAACCTCCATCTCCCAGGTTCAAAAGATTCTCCTGCCTAGGCCTCCCAGATAGCTGGGACTACAAGTGTGCACCACCACATCATGCTAATTTTTGTGTTTTTAGTAGAGACGGGGTTTTTGCCATGTTGGCCAGCCTGGTCTCAAACTCCTGACTTCAGGTGATCCACCCGCCTCGTCCTCCCAAAGTGTTGGGATCACAGGCATGAGCCACCATGCCTGGTCTGTTTATCTGCTTTTTATATCAATTAGGTAGAGACTCGCAAACTTGAATTATTGACTACTGTGCACCTACAGGCTCAACACCAAGTGGAAGCTGACAACGCTTGGGGCTTCCACCCTCTGAAGCAACAGCCCAAGCTATACCTCAGCCCCTTTTAGTTACAGCTGGAGCAGCTGGGACACAAGGCACCAAGTCCCTAGACTGCACATAGCAGAGGGACCCTGGGCCCAGCCCACAAAACCATTTTTTTCTTCCTAAACCTCCAGGCCTGTGATGGGAGGAGCTGCCACGAAGATCTCTGACATGCCCATTTTCCCCACTGTCTTGGTGATTAACATTCAGATCCTTTCACTTATGCAAATTTCTACAGCCAGCTTGAATTTCTCCTCAGAAAATGGGATTTTCTTTTATGTCATGTTGTCAGGCTGCAAATTTTCCAAACTTTCATGTTTTGTTTCCCTTAAAAACTGAATGCCTTTAACAGCACCCAAGTCACCTCTTGAATGCTTTGCTGCTTAGAAATTTCTTCCATCAGATACCCTAAACCATCTCTCTCAAGTTCAAAGTTTCACAAATCTCTAGGGCAGGGGCAAAATGCTACCAGTCTCTTTGCTAAAACATAACAAGAGTCACCTTTGCTCCAGTTCCCAACAAGTTCCTCATCTCCATCTGAGACCACCTAACTGGATTTCATTGTCCATATAATTATCAACATTTTTGTCAAAGCCATTCAACAAGCCTCTAGGGAGTTCCAAACTTTCCTACATTTCCCTGTCTTCTTCTGAGCCCTGCAAACTGTTGCAACATCTGGCTATTAATCCAGTTCCAAAGTTGCTTCCATATTTTTGGATATCTTTTTAGCAGTGCCCCACTCTACTGGTACCAATTTACTGTGTTAGTTCTTTTTCATGCTGCTAATAAAGACATACCCAAGAGTAGGAAATTTACAAAAGAAAGAGGTTTATTGGACTTACAGTTCCACATGGCTGGGGAAGCCTCACAATCATGGAGGAAGATGAAAGGCGTGTCTCACATGGTGGCAGACAAGAGAAGAGACAACTTGTGCAGGGAAACTCCCATTTTTAAAACCATCTATTCACTATCACAAGAACAGCACAGGAAAGACCTGCCCCCATGATTCAGTTATCGTCCCTCCCACAACATGTAGGAATTATGGAACCTACAAGATGAGATTTGGGTGGGGACACAGAGCCAAACCATATCAATCATAATAAGGTTTTGTTTGGGTAAAATGTAAGCCTTTCCCTCCCCTCCCCTCCCCTCCCCTCTCCTCTCCTCCCCTCTCCTCCTCCTCTTTCTTTCTTTCTTTCTTTCTTTCTTTCTTTCTCTCTTTCTCTCTCTCTCTCTCTTTCTCTTTCTGTCTTTCTGTCTGTCTTTCCTTTCTCTCTTTCTCTCTTTTCTTTCTCTTTCTTTCTTTCTCAGGGTCTCACTTTGTCACCCAGTTTGGAATGCATTGGCGTGAACACGGCTCACTGCAACCTCAACCTCCCAGGCCGAAGTGATCCTCCAGCTCAGCTTTCAGAGTAGCTGTGATATGGTTTAGCTGTGTCCCCACCCACATCTCATCTTGAAACCCAGTGGAAGGTAATTGAATCATGGGGGCAAGACTTTCCTGTGCTGTTATTGTGATAGTGAATAAGTCTCAAGAGATCTGATGGTTTTAAAAAGAGTTAAACCATCAGCATGGGCATGGTGGTGGGCACCTGTAATCTGAACTACTAGGAGGCTGAGGCAGAGCGAATTGCTTGAACCTGGGAGAAGGAGGTTGCAGTGAGCCAAGATTGCACCACTGCACTCCAGCCTGGGCAACAGAGAAAGACTCTGTCTCAAAAAAAAAAAAAAAAAAAAAAAAAAAGGAGTTCCTCTGCACAAGTTCTGTCTCTTTGCCTGCTGCCATGCATGTAAGATGTGACTTGCTTTTCCTTGCCCTCACTATGATTGTGAGTCTTCCCCAGCCATGTGGAACTGTAAGTCCAAATAAACCTCTTTCTTTTGTAAATTGCCCAGTCTTGGGTATGTCTATCAGCAGCATGGAAATGGACTAATACAGTAAATTGGTACCAGTAGAGTAGGGTGTTGCTGAAAAGATACCTGAAAATGTGAAAGTGACTTCAGAACTGGGTAGCAGGCAAACATTGGAACAGTTTGGAGGGCTCAGAAGAAGACAGGAAAATGTGGAAAAGTTTGGAACTTCCAAGAGACTTGTTGAATGGCTTTGACAAAAATGCTGATAGTGATATGAACATAAGATCCAGTCTGAGGTGGTTTCAGATGGAGATGAGGAACTTGTTGGGAACTGGAGCAAAAGTGACTCTTGTTATGTTTTAGCAAAGAGACTGGTGATGTTTTGCCCCTGCCCTAGACATTTGTGGGACTTTGAACCTGAGGGAGATGATTTAGGGTATCTGGTGGAAGACATTTCTTTTTTCTTTTTTTTTTTTTGAGATGGAGTCTCGCACTGTTGCCTGGGGTGGAGTACAGTGGTGGGATCTCGGCTCACTGGGTTCAAGCAATTCTCCTGCCTCAGCCTCCTGAGTAGCTGGGATTACAGGCATCCGCCACCATGCCCGACTAATTTTTGGTATTTTTAGTAGACACAGGGTTTTGCTATGTTGGCCAGCGGAAGACATTTCTAAGCAGCAAAGCATTCAAGAGGTGACTTGGGTGTTGTTAAAGGCATTCTGTTTTGACCGGGTGCGGTGGCTCACACCTGTAATCCCAGCACTTTGGGAGGCTGACGAGGGTGGATCAAGAGGTCAGGAGTTCGAGAACAGCCTGGCCAATATGGTGAAACCCTGTGTCTACTAGAAATACAAAAATTAGCTAGGCATGGTGGTGTGCGCCTGTAGTCCCAGCTGCTTGGGAGGCTGAGGCAGGAGAATCGCCTGAACCCAGGAGGTGGAGGTTCCAGTGAGCCGAGATCATGCCACTGACTGTAACCTGGGCAACAGATTGAGACTCCATCTCAAAAAAAAAAGGCATTCAGTTTTACCAGTTTTATAAGGGAAACAGAGCATAAAAGTTTGAGAAATTTGCAGCTTGACAATGCGATAGAAAAGAACATCCCATTTTCCGAGAGGAAATTCAAGCTGGCTGCAAAAATTTGCGTAAGTACCAAGGAGCCGAATGCTAATACCCAAGACAATGGGGAAAATACCTCCCGGACATGTCAGAGGTCTTCATGGCAGCCCCTCCCATCACAGGTCCAGAGGCCTAGGAGGAAAAAGTGGTTTTATGGGCCAGGCCCAGGGTCCCCATGCTGTGTGCAGCCTAGGGACTTGGTGCCCTGCATCTCACCTGCTCGAGCAGTGACTGAAAGGGGCCAACATAGAGCTTGGGCTGTTGCGTCAGGGGGTGGAAGCCCCAAACCTTGGCATCTTCCATGTGGTATTGAGCCTGCGAGTACATAGAAGTCAAGAATTGGGGTTTGGGAGCCTCCACCTAGATTTCAGAAGATACATGGAAATTCCTGGATTTCCAGGCAGAAGTTTGCTCTAGGGGTGGGGCCTTCATGGAGAACCTCTGCTAGAGCAGTGCCAGAAGGGAAATGTGGGGTCAGAGCCCCCACACAAAGTCACCACTGGGGCACTGCCTGGTGGAGCTGTGAGAAGAGCACCACCGTCCTCCAGACCACAGAATGGTAGATCCACCAACAGCTTGCACCGTGTGCCTGGAAAAGCTGCAGACACTCAATGCCAGCCTGTGAAAGCAGCCCAGAGGGAGGCTTTACCCTGCCCAAGACCATGGGAATCCACCTCTTGCATCAGTGTGACCTGGATGTGAGACATGGAGTCAAAGGAGATCATTTTGAAGCTTTAAGATTTGACTGCCCTGCTGGATTTCAGACTTGCATGAGTCGTGTAGTCCCTTTGTTTTGGCCAATTTCTCCCATTTGGAATGGCTGTATTTACCCAATGCTTATACCACCATTGTATCTAGGAAGTAAATAACTTGCTTTTGATCTTACAGGCTCATAGGCAGAAGGGATTTGTCTTGTCTCAGATGAGACTTTGGACTGTGGACTTTTGAGTTAATGCTGAAATGAGTTAAGACTTCGGAGGACTATTGGGAGGGCATGATTGCTTTTGAAATGTGAAGACATGAGATTTGGGAGGGGCTGGGGTGGAATGATATTGTTTGGCTCTGTGTCCCCACCCAAGTCTTATAGCTCCCATAACCCATGTGTCCTGGGAGGGACCTGGTAATTGAATCATGTGGGCTGGACGCGGTTGCTCATGCCTGTAATCCCAGCACATTGGGAGGCCAGGGCAGGAGATCTCTTGCGATCAGCAGTTGAGACCAGCCTGGCCAATGTGGTGAAACCCCATCTACACTAAAAATACAAAAACTAGCCAGGCGCGGTGGCAGGCACCTGTAATCCCAGCTACTTGGGAGGCTGAGGCATGAGAATCACTCGAACCTGGAGGCGGAGGTTGCAGTGAGCCCAGATCACACCACTGCACTCCAGCCTCGGCGTCAAAGTGAAACTTAGTCTCAAAAAAAAAAAAGAATCATGGGGGATGGGTCTTTCCCGTGCTGTTCTCATGTTAGTGGATAAGTCTTACAAGATCCGACGGTTTTAAAAATGGGAGTTACTTCTCTCTTCTCTTGTCTGTCACCATGTGAGAGATGCTTTTCACCTTCCACCAGGATTGTGAGGCCTCCCCAGCCACGTGGAACTGTAAGTCCAATAAACCTCTTTCTTTTCTTTTTTTTTTTTTGAGACAGAGTCTCGCTCTGTTGCCCAGGCTGGAGTGCAATGGCGTGATCTCGGCTCACTGCAGCCTCTGCCTCCCAGGTTCACGCCATTCTTCTGCCTCAGCCTCCCGCATAGCTGGGACTATAGGCACCTGTCACCACACCTGGCTATTTTTTTGGGTTTTTTTTGGTTTTTTAGTAGAGATGGGGTTTCACCATGTTAACCAGGATGGTCTTAATCTCCTGACCTCGTGATCCATCCACCTCGGCCTCCCAAAGTGTTGGGATTATAGGCGTGAGCCACTACACCGGACAATAAACCTCTTTCTTTTGTAAATTGCCCAGGTATGTCTTTATCAGCAGCATGAAAATTGACTCATACAGTGATCCATTACCAAGGGTAAAATTCTCCTGAGTGCCAAACAAAGAGATAAACTACATTTGAGTTTTGGGTAAGTCCCCTATAATGATGAACCAAGAATCCTCAAATCTGTCTTGCCACCCATTTAATACGTATTTTTGTTAAGGCTGAAGTTTAGAGTTAGAATCAGGACATTTTGGCCTATTGAGAAGTTCTGAATTCCAACAGAAGATGCCATGTAAATCAGCGAATTTGATTCTTTTAAAAGCAACTTATAAAATTTACAAGATTTATTCAATAAAGCAGTTCAACTTTGGTATATCAGACCTTATAATGAACCATTTTTCCCACTTCATCTTATGCAATCTTTAATATTTTCTATTTTTGTCAAGGATATTAAACCTACACCTGGAAACATATTAAATGCCAACTTAAAATGTGAGAAGCTTTGGCAGAACTCAGACCCATTTTCCCAAATTTCCAAGCTGTTTAATCACACTGATTTAGACACTCTGGATAGCAGCTGGGATTGTAGTTATCTTTATGCTTTGAGCTCTCTAGTTTTGTTTGCAAGTCTTATAAAATATCTTGCTGTTTCTGCATTGTGACATTGCTGTCACTAGTGGCTTTACCCAAAGATTTGTTTACAGATAGAGCCAAGTTAGTTTAGGTGAAAAGGTACAAATCAGAGTTTAGTTTCCCTTGTCTGATGTTTGTTTTTGCCAAATAGAGATAAAGCAAAATTAAATGGCACCAATGGTTTGATTAGTTGAGCAAGTGATTAGAGTAGGAGGGACATATATGAATACTTGTTAATGGACAGCATCAAGATTGCTTTGCATTGCACTGCTAGAAAGGTAAAGAATTGTGTGAGGCAGTATGTGGTTTTTAAAAATTCTGGTAGAGGTATACAAGCAAGACCACTTGCAGTGGCTCACACCTATAATCCCAGCACTTTGGGAGGCCAAGGCGGAAGGATTGCTTTAGGCCAGGAGTCCGAGACCAGCCTGGGAAACACAGTGAGACCCCTGTCTCTATATTAAAAAAAAAAAAAAGTATACAAGCAAAAAAGAAATTATGGGCCTAAGGTAAGCCAGTGGGAGTGGATGCTGCAGTTGTATGGAAAACAAGATTATTGGAGGATAGGTCAGGGGACCGAGTATTGGAAGTATTACCTACTTAGATATTGATATCACCAAGAGTCACAACAGGAAGATTATTGAAAAGAGAGGCAGAGTTCAGTGCTAAAATCTTCAAGGAGTGAGGAAGACTGATACAGAGGTATACACAGTGGACCACTGAAAGATAGGATATCATGTGGAATACTCTGCCAGCATGAGCTCCAAACAAGTTGGAGAGTTTTAGGGAAGACAGAAGAATAGCAGCCTGGCAGCCAAAATAAGTAACAGATAATGCTTATGCTACCTCTACATTCTTTGTATAGCATTTGGGGAAAAAAAAAATAGCTCCCCTTTGAGAGGGCAGTGGGAGCATCAGTGCTGATAGGAGATGCCAGGTTTTGATGAAGAGAATATTCAGAGATTGCC